AAGAGCCAGGGGTGCTCAGCAGAGAAGGGGGACGCCTAAATATGTCACCTGTGCTAGCAGAGGACAAAACCCGGCCGGCCATCCCCCAGCTGTGGCATATGCCCTGACCGTCCCCCAAAGGGCTGCATAAGCACCCCAGGCTCTGCTTTCCAGCAACGGGGAGCCAGCGACCGGTTCTGCCCACGTTACGTATGGGACACGAGGACGGAGGGAATCGAGCAGAGCTGCAGGGCACAAGGAGAAAAGCATCCAGCCCTAAACCGGAGCTCTTCTAGGGGCCACGTCCTTACGAAAGGGCGCAGCTGAGATGCTGCAAGGTCAATGTCAGACCAACAGCCCCCCGGCTCGGCACCCGGGGAGGTCCCGCCGTGCTCCCCTGTCCCCCGCCGTCCTCACCTTGCCTTCCCGGTGCTGCAGCCAGCTGTTGAAGAGCACCTCGTACGCACTGAAGATCTCGTTTGAGAAGGTGTCCTTCCTGACCGTGGGGTCCGGGGCCTTGTCCAAGTTCGCCAAGTACTCCTGGATGCTCTCGCTGAAGTGCTGCAGGGCTAGGAGACAGAGTGCGTAGTTACGGTTTTTCCAGGCGTACGAGACAGTGTTTGTTTTAGCCCCCTCCAGCAAGCAGATGGCTGCCGTGCTGTTTTACTGGGCAGCATCTCAAGGGGTAGCAGATGCACCAGGACTCTCCCTGGCAGGCCGAGAGACTTCTCGAGATGTGCTCTGGCTACGAGGGATCCTGGCAAGCGGCCACACCAGAGATACAGGCTGCTTTATGCTTCCTGGGCTGATATAACCGACTCCGGAGACCCAACTCCACAAACCCACGGGAGCCTGGATTTGCCACGTGGGCTATTTCGACGCATTCGTTAGCAGCCAAGGTGGCCAAGAACTGCAGCCTCGCAGCCACAGGCAAACCAGTGCACGGCACCTCGACGAGTTCATCTGGTCCCTGGCCCAGCAAGCGCTGCGTGTCAGCACGTGTTATTTTTCCTCGTGCGAATTGGACCGGCGACGAGAGCACGTTTGTGTAAAGGCACGCACCCTGGTTCAGACACAAGGCTCAGCGGGGTCACCTTCCATCTCCCGCCTAAGGAAGCCTTTGCCACGGCTTTTTGGGGTTCCCCAAGGCTTTACAGAGTTCCTGGGGCAGCCAAGGAATCGCCGAACACCAGGAGCAGGTCTCAGCTGACAGCACCCGAGGGCTGCAAACACCCTTCTAGTTTTACTTGGGGAATTTTCCAACAGCGGAGAGCACGGCAAAGGCTCCCGGCCTCAGGAGCTCCTGCGCAGGGTGCTGCTGAACACGGATGCGGCAGGCAGGCA